TGGGGGTTTAGTTGCAATGAAATTCCGGAGTTTCTGTTTGTCTGGGAAGGTCCATATTCTTTCTTCAAAGAGGAAGGAGAGCTTTGCGGGATAGAGTATTCTTGGTTGGCATCTGTTTTCTTGGAGTCTGTTGGCTATGTCCCTCCACTCTCTCCTTGCCCGTAGTGTTTCTTCGGAGAAGTCTGATGTCAGCCTGATTGGCTTTCCTTTGAATGTTATCTGTTTCTTCCCTCTTGCCAGCTTCATTATTTTTTCCTTGTCCTGGATTCTTGGGAGCTTTACTATTATGTGTCTTGCTGTATTTTTCCTTTCGTCGTGGAAGTTTGGTGTTCTTCTTGCTTCTTGTATATCAATTTTCAGCTCCTTCTTCACATTTGGGAAGTTCTCTTCAATTATCTCTTTGAATATTTTCTCTGTTCCTACATCTCTCTCCTCTCCTTCTGGTATTCCTATAACTCTTATATTTCCTTTCCTCATGGAGTCAGATAGTTCCCGAAGTCTTTCTTCGTTCTTTTTCCTTCGTACTTCTCTTTCCTTTTCTGTTTTGGTTCTTTTTATTTCTGTGTCTTCAAGATTACTTATTCGTTCTTCCATTTCATCTATTCTGCCATCATTGCTTTTCCCAGAATTCTTTAGTTCTTCCATTAATTCTTTGATCTCCTGCATTTCTTTTACTTCCCTCTTTAGGGACTCAATTTCTTTCTTCTGACCATTGTTTTCCCTCTCTAGGGACTCAATTGCATTCTTCTGATCGTTGATTATTTTTCCCTTATCATTGTTTTCCTTTATGACTTCTGTCAGTTTTTTAATCACGGCAATTTTAAATTCTCTTTCTGGAAGGCTCAGAAATTCTTCCAAGTTATTGTCTTTGCAATCTGGGGGCTGGCTTTCTTTTTGTGGTGTGCTTTTTCTCTGGAGAGTTGCTAGGTTGCGTGTGGTTCTTCTCCTCCCTACTGTCTGTTTTCTAATTTGCCGTATGCGTTGGGACACTGTGTTGTTGGGACTGGCCGGCATCTTGGGTGGGCTTCTCTGTTCCCCTCTGGTTCTACCAGGAGTCATCTGTCAGTTTCAAGCAGCCTTTAATGGAGAAAGGTCCCTGTTCTAAAATGCCGATGTGGGGACACACTCCCCTGTGCGCCTGGTCTGCCCCGGCGGTGGGTTCCTGCTCCCCTCTGGGCTTGGACTGCAGGCCAGAGGGGGTCTGGCGTGGGCGAACTTCCCCTGCTCACCTCTGGCTCCTGAGGAAGCCTTCTGCAGGTAGTCTTTACTGAAGAAATGTCCCTGTTCTAAAATGGTGATGTGGGACACACTCCCTGCGCGTCTGGTCTCAGGCACACTCTTCTGCGCGCCTGGTCTGCCCCGGCTGTGGGTTCTCGCTCTCCCTGTGGGCTCAGACTACTTGTTCGGAAGGAGCCAGGTGTGGGCTAACTCCCCAGCTGGCCACTAGCTCCTTCAGTAGCCTGTGCTGGGGTCAAGTCGCTAGGTGGCGCCAGAGATCTCTCCTAGAGCCCTTGGGGAGCTGATTTTCCACCCCGTGGGACAGGGAGCAGAGCGGGGATGGTAGGGTACACCTCAACGGCTTTGGGGTGCTGTGTCTGCCTTGTGCCCCACCGTCGTGGGAAACCCACGCCCCTAATTTCGTGCCCCGGGTCTCAGTTCCAAAGCCCTCAGTTCCAGGACGCGGGCTGTAGCCCAGATCAGTGGCGCGGGAATGGCGCCTTTTGAAACCCGCTCCCCTGCCTGGGCGCCTTGTTCCTGCTCACTCAGGGAGGGCCTCCGCCGTCTCCCCGCAAGCCTAGGTCGCAGGCGCGGGGACCTGGGCAGCTGCGATTCGGTCTGGATCCGCGCCACTTTCCGCGCAGGCTTACCGGGCGGCCGGGGCTGTGTGCTGGTGCTGGTCTCCTCCTGGGGGGCGGGGCTCTCTTTAATGGCGCCTGGAGCTCACCTCCGCGGCGGATCCTGCAGGGTTCGCCTCAGCTCCCGTTCACGGGGTGTGGTGGCTGCAATAGTTCCTTTCCACTCACAGTCCCGCTTGCTGTGTCCGTTTTTCTTGTTGGCCGTTTTGGTTTGTTGTTTCCTCCTCTCTGCCGGTCGGAGAGTGCCGCCTCTGTGGGCGGGGGAGGGGAGCAGGGTTCTGCGCTTCCCTCCCTTCTCGTCCTCTTTTATGGCAACTTTCTTCTTCGGGTAGTTTGCTGGAGTCACCCGTTTATCTTCCGTGTCCCAGTTCTCACTGGGACCTGCCGCTTTTCCTCCCTATTAACTTTTTTTAATGGGAGATCTTACTCGCAGCGTCTCCTCGCCGCCATGTTGCCGAGCTTTCTTTTTCTACCTTTTCCTATGAGTTTTATATTTTCTTTCTTTTTTTTTTTTTTATAGAGGCATGTTTTATTTATTTATTTGTTTGTTTGTTTGTTTTGTTTATACATGCACTGGGTACAGTCAGAAGCATGGGAGGGTGAGAGAATTCACCAGAGCCAGAGTGGGGGCAGAGAAGGCAGAAGGACCGAAGTACACTGCTGAGGGGAGCAGCGGGCAGCAGGAGAGGTCTGCGTGCCATGCGGGACCCTCCTCCGGTGGCCGGGGAGCAGCCGGGGATTGAACCGGTGCCGCAGAGGCTGCGGGCAGCTACGCAACCCAGCGCTCAACCGCTGCGCCACCGGGGAGGCCCGGGTTTTATATTTTCAATCTTACATTTAGGTTTCAGATCCACTTTGAATTAATTTTTGTGTATGATGTGAAGAAACCAACTTTATTCTTTTGCATGTGAGTATCTATCTCAGCAGAAGTTTCTTTCTTTATGAACATAAACGAGTTAGACACTGCACAGTAAAGATTAGGGCTCGCACACTCAGTCTGTAAAGTAACTCAGAAGAAGAATTCAGGGCTTCTGAAAAGGGCATCTTGACCTGTTAGTACTTTGTGTCTAAATTCAAGAGGGTGGCAACCTACTGGTTTCTTTCTCTACCAAAATTGAGAATACAATCAATTAATTTATTAGTTTATTGAGGCATTGGGTCTAAATGTAAAGAACATAATAAATTACTTGGCTTTTAAAGAGATTTCTAAAAATGTTCAGTAAGTCTCTTTAAATTTGGGTCAAGATAGTAATATGTCTCAAACACTTAGAGGAGTTAAAAACACTCTTAAGACTTCTTCTATGTTGGGCCTCTCCGGTGGCGCAGTGGGTTGAGTGCAGTGCTGTGAAGTTGTCCGCAGCCTCTGAAGCACAGGTTCAGTTCCTGGTTGGCCAGGGAGATTCCCACATGGCGTGGCAGACCTCTCCTGTCTCGCCCGCTGCTCCCCTCAGCAGTGTATTTCGGTGCTCTGCCTGTTCTGCTTCCTGCTTTGCCTCTGGTGAATCCTCTCACCCTCCTGTGCTCTGGCCTGTACCCCAGCTCTTACATAAAAATAAATAAAAATCTTTAAATTAAAAAAAAATTTTCTTCTATGTTGTGTATGTTCAAGAGTGGAAGGATATGAAAGTAAAATAGTGAATAAAGGTCATTTGTTCTATAATAACTTGCTTCTACAAGGTAAACAAATGACAAAGATAAGTCACAAACCAAATTTATCCTTTACTGTCTAGTCCTTCCATGCAGATACTGGGTCCAGGGTCCTTCTTGCACTCAGTTTTGTAAAGGGGATACACTAGTTTTAGGTTTGTACTCAGAATTTGATGAGACAAATGAATCCAATTATAGACTATCAGAAAGCATTTGTTTTTTTTTTTAAAGATTTATTTATTTTTATACAAGAACTGGGATACAGGTCAGAGATGCAGGAGGGTGAGAAGATTCACCAGAGATAGAGTGGGGAACAGAACAGGCAGATGAAATACACTGCTGAGAGGAGCAGCAGGTGAGACAGGAGAGGTCTACTGCGCCACGTGGGTATCTCCCTGGCTGGCTGGGAATTGAACCCGTGCTGCAGAGGCTGCGGACAGCTTCACATCGCTGTGCTCAACCCGCTGTGCCACTGGGGAGGCCCCAGAAAGCCTTTCTTTGCCACCCTTAACAATAATTCTGTTTTCATAAATATGATCATGGTGAACTTAAATTCATTTTTGTTCATTACTTGAGCAAGGGGTATCACTTTACTTATTAATTCAGTGAAACATTTATTGAGTGGCTTACTCTTACTGCATTTCTTTTGAATAGAGAACAAGTATACATATATTTTCTTGTCCCTTTCTTTCTTACATTAAGAGCAGCCTACCATTGATACCCATTGTAACCTTGCTTTTTTCATTTATTAGTGTATCCTGGAAATCACTCCAAATCACTTTATAGAGATACTCCTGATTTTTTTTAACAGTTGCATATTATTTCATTGTGTGGATAAATCATAATTTTATTCAAATAATATATGGGCACTGTATCAGTTTCCTGTTACTATGACAGATTATCACAAACTTTTGAGTTAGAATAACACACAAATTAGTTATCTTACAATTATGGAGCTCAGAAGTTTGAAATGGATTTTACTGGGTAAAAATCAAGGCATCTGTAGAGTTGTATTCCTTTTGCAGGATCTAAGAGAAAATTCCTTTCCTGGCCTTTTTTGGTTTCTAGAGGTGCCTAAATTCCATGATTCATGTTCCCTTTCTCCCTCTTTATTATAGCAGTGTAGCAACTTCATTTCTCTCTAACTTTGTCCTGCCTCCATCTTTTATATAACGTAAGGACCCTTGTGTTTACATTGTGCCTGCCTTAATAGTCTGGGGTAATCTCTCTTTCCCAAAATCCTTAACTTAATTCATCTGCAAAGTCTCTTTTTTTTCACCACATTAGGTAACATAGTCACAGGTCCTGGGGGTTCAGATGTGGACTTCTTTAGGAGGCCATTATTCTATGCTACAAGTATTTTCCAATATTTTGCTATTATAAATAGTACTGTGATGAATAATCTTGTGCTTTCATATTTTTTTTTTATAGAGGCATGTTTTATTTATTTATTTATTCATTTGTTTGTTTTTTTGTTTATACATGCACTGGGTACAGTCAGAAGTGCCGGAGGGTGAGAGGATTCACCAGAGCCAGAGCCGGGAGCAGAGCAGGCAGAAGGACCTAAGTACACTGCTGAGGGGAGCAGCGGGCGGCAGGAGAGGTCTGCGCGCCATGTGGGACCCTCCTCCAGTGGTCGGGGAGCAGCCGGGGATCGAACCGGCGCTGCAGAGGCCGCGGGCAGCTTCGCTACCCAGCGCTCAAGCGCTGCGCCACCGGGGAGGCCCCATGCTTTCATATTTTTGTACTGTGGGAGATGTATCTTCCGGGTACATTTCTAGAAGTGGGTTTGCTGGATCAAAGACAGGGTCCTATGTAATTCTGTTTCGTATACTGTTTGGTATTTCTCTTAGAAGGGTGAACCAATTTAAAAGTGACTGTTATCCCCAAATTTCACCAACAGAGTATATTGTCCTGCTTTTTATTTATTTTTTTTTTTTAAATATACTAATTGATGTTAATAATAATGACCTTTTTTTTTTTTTTTTTAAAAGATTTATTTTTATTTATTTATACAAGCACTGGGTACAGTCAGAAGCGCGGGAGGGTGAGAGAATTCCCCAGAGCCAGAGCGGGGAGCAGAGCAGGCAGAAGGACCGAAGTACACTGCTGAGGGGAGCAGCAGGCGGCAGGAGAGGTCTGCGCGCCATGTGGGACCCTCCTCCGGTGGCCGGGGAGCAGCCGGGGATCGAACCGGCGCTGCAGAGGCTGCGGGCAGCTTCGCAACCCAGCGCTCAACCGCTGCGCCACCGGGGAGGCCCTTGTCCTGCTTTTTAAATTTTGCCAATCTTACATGTGGTCTCCAGCAAAAGATGGCATCTGGGCTTGTTTTAATTATGAGTGAATTTGATCATTTTCTCACATGTTTGAGGGTCATCAGTATATCTTATTTTTGTCAATTGTTTGTTCATTGGGTTTTTGTCCCTTATCCCTTTGTTCCTTGATTTTTATGAATTTTTTATACACTAGGTATCTTGATCTCTTATTTGAAATATGTCACAAATATTTTCTTCCAGATTGTCATTTGACTTTTGGCTTTGCGTATAGTGGGGTTCTGGTTTTTTTTTCTGTGAATATTTTTTAATTTTATATACTAAAATTATCAACCCTTTATTGCCTGTGCATTTGAGTTTTTATTTAGAAACCTTTTTCTTTTTTTCTTTTTTTAAAGATTTTTTTTTTATTTATTTATACAAGACCTGAGGTACAGGCTGGATGTGCAGAAGGGTGAGAGGATTCACCAGAGACAGAGTGGGGAACAGAACAGGCAGACTGTTCTGCTGTATTTCAGTGTACCAAAATACACTGCTGAGGGGAGCAGCAGGCGAGACAAGAGAGGTTTGACATGCCATGTGGGTTGCTCCGCGGCCGGTGGGGATTGAACTGGCACTGCAGAGGCTGCTGACAGCTTCACAGCGTTGCACTCAACCGCCTGCGCCTCCAGGGAGGCCCGAACCCTTTTTCTATACCAAAGTAAAAGAGGTGGTCATTCATGTTTCCTTATGTTACTCATATAGTCTCATTTATTTATAGCTAGATTCCAAATCCTCCACTTGGAGTCTATTCTCATATATGGCGTGAGATTTTGCTCTAATTTTATCTTTTCCCAAATGGTTACTTAGTGGGATCAACATTATCTATTTTATCTGGTTTTTTTTAAACCTTTGAAAATTCTACTTTATTTTTTAATTAAGTAACATTGCATCTATAACATTATATGTTTCAACTGTGCATCACCAATATCATTTGTTAAAGGCCCATCTTTATTCCCAATGATCTGAGATGTCACTTTTACTTGGTTCCTGTATATACTTGAGTCTGTCTCTGGACATTCTGTCCCAGTGGCTTGTTTGTCTATTCATTTATCAGTACCATATTATTATAAAGGTTATAGATGTTTATAGTATATTTTTAATGCCAGGTTAAACTGGTATGCCATCATAGTATTTCTTTTTCAATGTTTTCTTGGCCATTATTACATGTTTGTTTTTCCACTGAAACTTTAGTATCACTGAGTCCACTCTATAAAATAACTTATTGACTTTTTAATTGAGATTGCATACCTTTATAAATTCATTTAGGAAAAACTCTTGAGTCACCCTAGCCAAGAACAGGAGATGTTTTCCCATGTATATTATGGGGCTTAAATTTTAATTGGAGCTTATAAATTAATTGTGAAGAAATGAAACTTTAAAGTTAAATTTCAAAAAGGGAACAGCCTGTAAATGATATAAAAATGTCTCTACAGTAGAATTCCTCGCCTTTCTTGCAAAGAACTGTGTTAGCATTGCATATGATGCAGGGGCATTCTTACTTTGTGAGAGAGTAGGAAGGAAAAGAATGACAGAACTTCCCAGGCATGTTGCGAAGGCACAGTGAAAAATCAAGAAGGGAAAACTTGGGCCCAGACTGCTGCCTGCTGGATTTAAGGCCTGGATATGGCTACTAAGGGCTGTGGATCCACTCTTAACATGTAATATGAAGTTCACCAGCACTGGAATTGAGACACAAGTAGGGCCATCATTTATTAACAGTATGACCTTGGCTAAATGTCTTAGGATCTCTACACCTTAGCTTCATTGCCAAGATGGGAATGAAGGATACTTAAGTACTAGATCATGTGGCAGAATAGAGTCTCAGTAAAAAGCTCCCTTCTTTCCCATGTATCTATATTCCTTTCTTACTTGCTTATAGCAACTGTTTCGTTCTTTCTTCTGTCTGTAATTTTATTAATTTTTTATCCTTCCCCATCTCTATAGCTTCAATTCTGTGGTCAGGCACATGCTTTTCTAGTTCCCTTTTCCCTCTGCCTTGCGGTATGTTTAGTATTTTTTTTTTAAAGATTTATTTATTTATGCATACAAGAGCTGGGGGGGGGGCGGGGTGAGAGGATTCACCAGAGACAGAGTGGGGAACAGAACAGGCAGACTAACTGAAATACACTGCTGAGGGGAGCAGTGGGCGAGACAGGAGAGGTCTACTTAACCATGTGGGTTGCTCCCTGGTGGGCCAGGGATCGAACTTGTGCTGCAGAGGCTTCAGATTGCTTCATAGTGCGGTGCTTAACACCTTGTGCCACTAGGGAGGCCCATGTTTAGTATTTTTAAAACTCATCTTGACACTGGGGCTAGGGGATTAATTAGTGTATGAGCCCACAGGCTCTCATAGGCATCCTTAGTCCTGAGACACTAAGACATTTGCAAGTGTCTCCACACAGCCATGGCAGAACTTAAGTCATTTAAAATGTTCCTGTGACCTAACCCTGGAGATGTAGATGTATCCCTTTGTGCTTAGGAATTGCATACTGTTCATTCCTTTCCTTTTGTACTTATGATGTTTCAGGGTTCTTATGCTTTTTCTAACCCCGTGGAAATTTCATAACAACTACAACAACAAAAATTTCTGTTTAAAAAGAGTTTACATACATATTTTATTAGTGATGTATGTGGAGCACTGCAAAGGTATTGGCACAAATTTAGGAAAGTAGTGAGTAGACACTGTTCAGAGATCCAGAGAAATTAGAAAGAAAATAGTGCTTTCTTAAGAATCATGCATTTAAATTTGACTGACAATAATAGCAATTTACTGTATGTTTTTACTATCATCACTGAATAAAAATATTTCCTATTCCCAGTTTTTCTTGTCAAGAGGTTTTATCTAGCACTTAGCTTTTACGTTACAAAAATGATTCATTATAACGACAATTTCTTATTGAAATAAAAAAATCATTTAAAAATTTGTTGCCCATCTTTCATAATGTCTAAGACTTTTGGATCTGTTTCAAATCAGAACTCTGAAGACATTCTTTCACACATAATCAAATAATTATTTCATATGCATCAGATCACTATTGTTGTCAGTTATTCTGTTTGATTCCTCTCCCCCTTTCTGCTCCCACAGAGATCCATTCTCTGTCCTTTCTTGTTCTGTGACCTGTGTCCTGTGTCCTGTGGACCTAAATCTTAGCCCAGGCTCCCTTACCTTCTGGCTTCCAGCTGGATTCCAAGAGGCATGAGCAGGAGCCTGGAGTTTGAGAAGATAGTGAATCTAGGTACGTGGTCCTGCAGGAAGCAGGGGGTTCCTACACCCAGAGCTTGTTTCAGGGCTATCCTTTCCATAATGGCATCTCTCACTGGGCTCAGGTTAATGTTGTGACTTAACCCTTTCTCCTAACCAGTGAGTGAGGACTTCCAGCTGCTGCCAATTGCTGGTTGCCTCGCTCTCCCTCACTGTTCCACTGTACCTTAAACCTGCCCACAGCCTGCAGATTCCCTTCATTAAATTCTTCTCAGTTAAACTCTTGAAGGAGTGTGCTCTCTTTGTCAATGCCACACCAACAAACTAATGGTTATGTTCATGTTTCTGTTATGACTATCTAAAATTTAAAAGATGCATTTACCATGAACACTAAAAACAGACACTCTTTAGTCAATATGCAGTAAACTGCACCAATGCTTCTGGAAATTATAGATAAAATGTAATATTCCCCAAACTGTATGAGATACATGATAAAATTACAAATTGAAATTTTGGTACGGCCTATAAATTGGCACTCAATTGAGCTCTCTGACCAGATGACAATCCTTTTACAATCCCCACCTCGGCTGTGTACATCAAATGAAGTAAATATGCTGACCCAAGAGAAAAGACTTAGAACTCGAACATGGAGATGGAATTTATAATGGCCGCTTCTTTAATAAAACCGATGTTCTCGTTCAGACACAACTCTTAAAGTACAGAGAAGTAACAAAAAAAACCACCAAAAAACAACACTACAACTTACATACATATCGGAGTAATATTAAACAAAATACTGGTTTTCAAATACTGAGATTCTTCAGTCATATGACAAATGGCTTTCAAATACTGAGATTCTTCAGTCATATGACTTAAAAAAAAGTTTTAAATTCAAAATATTTCTTCATTATTTTAAGTCAATTGTTTTATTGTCTTACTTAAATGGTGTCTAAAGGTTTGATGGTAAAATCTCTCTAACTTCTCCTATATATTTTTTTAAAGATTTATTTATTTATGCATACAAGAGCTGGGGTACAGGCCAGGGGCATGGGGGGTGAGAGGATTCACCAGAGACAGAGTG